TGCTCTCTGTCTCTCATTCTCTCTCTCAAATAAATAAATAAAATCTTTAAAAAAAAAAGAAAGTAATTTGGCTCTTGTTGACTGAACTCATCATTTTTCTTCTTTCTCTCAAGGTGTCCGAGCGGTTGAGTCAACCAGGAGTGGCAATAGGTTTAGCTTGGACCCCCTTAGGTGGGGAAATCATGTTCGTGGAGGCAAGCCGAATGGATGGCGAAGGTCAGCTAACTCTGACTGGCCAGCTAGGGGACGTCATGAAGGAGTCTGCCCATCTTGCGATCAGCTGGCTCCGCAGCAATGCAAAGAAATACCATCTGACTAATGGTGAGTGGCCTCGCCCTGGCCAAGGCGCGCTGTTAAGCAGGGAGAAGGAGCCTTTGGATTGTGATCCGGGAGGCATCTCCCAGTTCTGTGACAAGGATGAAGGTGGGCTCTAAATGAAGAGTTACACCTTTAAGAAAGTAGCAAACCTTTGATTTTGAACGCCCATAGAAATTCTGGTTCCCATGTTAGGACTATGTGGCTAGCGCCTGAACTAGAAACTGATTTTCAAGGGTTTGTTTTCAATTCTCCTTAGAGTAGAATGAAACTGTTCTTCCAGACCCCACTCTAATTGTACCACCCATTAATATTTTGAGGGATTCATTTACCCAAAACATTTTTATCTTTTTTATTCTCTTTTTTAGGAGAAAAAGAAAACAGGTTTAATTTTTTCTACATTAAAATCCTTATTTCCTTTTTTAAGCTTCTGGAAGTTTTGATCTTCTTGACAACACAGACATCCATCTGCACTTCCCAGCTGGTGCTGTCACAAAAGATGGACCATCTGCTGGAGTTACCATAGTAACCTGTCTCGCCTCGCTTTTTAGTGGGCGGCTGGTGCGTTCAGATGTAGCCATGACTGGAGAAATCACACTGAGAGGTCTTGTTCTTCCAGTAAGTCTGAAGAAAGTGATTTATATGGTTTTAAATTTTTTTAATTTTAAGTTTAATAGTAGTTTCCCTTCTTCCTATATGTGTGTGTATATATATATATACACCTTAGTTTTAAACACATTAAAGTTTTATACTTGTAACTAATTCACATTTTTCAATATTGATCAAATAAAAGAAAAACTGACAATGTTTTCCCTTCTACTAAGAAAGAAGACTTATGAGGGAAAGAAGTTATCAGTCTGGTCATCAGAAATGTCAGCCACTGAGGTGAAGAGTGGAGGTTTTGTTCCAGTTAGCAAATTGTTAAGCAGATAACTTCTGTGTAAAACAGGATAGCAGCTGATTTTTTAAACTTGAGGCTAACTCCTCAACTTTTGAAGTCCTTGTGAGACCTCCTATAAATAACTTAGATTACTGTAGTTGATAGATTTATAGAAAAATAAGTATAAAATGGAACTATAATAAAGACCAACCATGTCTAATTGCTAAATTTGTAAAAAGTTCTATATACATGGGGCTTTGGGGCTCCCCTCCATACCCTAAACTACTTATAAAAACACTGATAAAAAATACAGAGAACTTGAGTGATCATTTAAGGTCTTAAGTCATTGATTAGCAGTACTAGTTTACAACAGAATTTTGGTGGGTTCATAGCAAAGTGAGAAAAGAAACGAATATTCTTTATTCTGAGAACACCTTTATGAGGTAATTGTGAAAGTAAATCATAGAGTCACCAGTCGAGAGATCACTAAAACTGCTCTCATTTCCCCAATTTTTAAAATTCAACCAGGAATTCAACCATGTTCTAAATCCTATTATTATGATACATTTGTAGGTCTGTATTTGAAAGGAATGGCTGATCTCCTTTCTTCACCTTACCCAGGAATTACTGCATTTCAAGAGACTGTAACAGTGGTTAATAGTGGTTAATATTATCTGTGCTATTAAAAGGAAGTATAAATGCTTTACTGACATGAACTCTTCAGCTTCCTAGTTCAAGATGGTAGACTAAGCAAATAGTGAAAGGAATAATACAAACACTCAAAAATGAGTGGGGAGTCAGCAGCTGAGAGTTCAGCCAACTTCTGGAAGATAGTTTCCTGGCTGGTGAGATAGAATTGGAGGTAGAAACGATCTTCCCAGAAGGAATCTGGGAAAGCGTGAGCTCAGAGCCACAAGGCACAGACCAGGAGAGCAGGAGAGAGATGGGAAACAAAACCAGGGGATTCACAGAAATGTCCATAGAATAAATGGGTCTTCCCCTTGATCCCTTGCTCTCAGGGCAGAGAAGCACCCAGGTGAAGGCTTTCCCACGCCCACAGGGGAGAACCACAGCAGCTTTGAGGAAGCCCCGGTTTTAAACCTATTCCATGAGAGGTGAAAAGCCTTCAAAGCGTTTAAGAGAAAGACTTGCTAAAGCTGGCAGTTCAGAGAGAACAGTTCAGGAACAGAGAATGGGGACAAAACTTGGATTTAAAACTTAGGTTTTAAAATTAGAAAACTATTCAGAAAAAAAAACAATAGAAAAAGCAATCAAGCAGATCCAGCATCTAACTGTCAGGCATTCTAGCAAACCGAGAAAACGGAATAGAACAAACTGTCAAAGAAATAATGGAACATTTCCTAGAATTGAGGGTTATCTTCAGATTGAAAGGGCCTATGCCAACCAGGAGAAAGATTTCATCCCCACGACTGTTCAGATAACTGAGGAGAAAGCTGTCTCATTAGTCTCCTCAGTGACCTTCAAAACTCTGAGGGAGAAGGATTTTAAATCCAGTCTGGTATACACAGCCTTACCATCAACCAAAAGTGAAAGGTAGGCGAGCTCATACATGCGAGGAGTCCGTTTGTCTCTAAAAGTGAACCTCAGCTGCACACGGAAGAGCCGACGGAGACAGCTGTGCAGGGGTGCGCGGAGCAGCCGTGCGGCCGCAGGTGCTTGCAGAGCTCTCACAGGCCGTCTCCAGGGCTCACGTGTTCTGGGGGGTCTGAGAGCTGCATTTGGAGTCTGATGCTGCCTAACACACCACCCAAAACAATATTTATTATTCTCACAGTTTCTGTGGGTCAGGAATTCAGGAGAGGCTTAGCTGAGCTCGTCTGCCTCAGGGCCCCATCATTGCAGGCGCAGTCATCTGCAGGTCGACCGGGGCTGGGGATCTGCTTCCGAGGTGGTTCACTCACCTGACTTAGCAAATGTGTCGTGGTTGGCAGGATGCCCCAGGTCCTCACCTTAGGGCTTCTCCAGAGGCTGTTGGGTGATCTCCGGTATGGCGGCTGGCTACCTCCAGGGCCAGAGAGCCAGAGAGACGGACCTAGCAGCAACAGCTCTCATTTTTTATGGTTAAGTGTGAAAGTCATACAGCATCACTTCCCCCACACTCTGTTTCTTATGAGTCACTAAGCCTGGCCCACATTCAAGGGGAGGGGAATGAGACTCCCCCTTTTGTGAAGGGACCATTGTGGACATATTTTAAAACCACCGTAAGAGCCTACATCATTTGGGATACGTTTTCTTCATCAGGTGACACAAAGGTTATGGCTTCAAACTTGTGCAGGAGCTAAGCTCTGTAGGAATGGTATTTGTGGTCAAAATAATGTAATGATTTTCCAGACTCGACCTATAGATAAGATTGTTTTGACTACAGAATGGAATATAAATATTAACCTGACAGTGTAAAAAGGAATCATGGACATAAGAGGTGCTCGTATCTATAGAAAGCTTTTAATTTTCCCCCACTAAAAGGATTAAGTAGAACACAAATTGAAACATAAAGAATTCACTGTTTATTAACCTTTTTTAGTGGCTTTCCTAGCTCACGCTATAACAGAATGGAAGATGATATAGATGTTTCAGAACAGCCGTGAGAGAAAGTTGGGTCAGGGATCTTTCACAGTCTGAGGATGACCAGAAATCTGAGTAACTGTCTTCTCTCCTTCTAGGTGGGTGGGATTAAAGACAAAGTGCTGGCAGCACACAGAGCAGGACTGAAGCGAGTCATTATTCCTCAGAGGAATGAAAAAGACCTTGAAGAAATCCCGGGCAATGTACGACAGGATTTAAGTTTTGTCACAGCAAGCTCCCTGGATGAAGTTCTTAATGCAGCTTTTGATGGTGGCTTTACTGTCAACACCAGACCTGGTCTCTTAAATAGCAAATTGTAGGCCCAAATCCCAACTTTTCCGAATTTCAAGTTATGAAGTGCCAAAAGGTACAGAAAAGATTTTTGTTCATACCGGTAGAGGTAAGCAAAGTATCCCTAATTTGTGAACATGATCACACACAACAGTAACAAATCTCACTCAGGTGGTGGCTGGTGTTGATTACAGAAATGTTAATAAACTGATAAAAATTAAATTCCTGTCTTCAGTGAAATCATTACTGTCTGGAGACGTGTAGAGCATCAGTGCCCAGAACAGAAGCATCAGTATTCCCTGTGAGCTTGTTAGAAATGTAAATTCTCAAGACCCACCAGCAGACCTTCTAAATCAAACTGGGGGGGGAGGGCCCGGAAATCTGCTTTAGTTAAGCCCAGGTGATTCTGATGCGTGGTCAGCATCAGGAACCGTGGGTGTAGACCATTAGCTCAGCAGGGTCACCTGGGGACGTATAGTAACAGAGCAGGGGCATGGGACAAAGATGAAAATAGCACCAGCCATTAGTCTCTGTGGAAAGTAAAGTACTCAAGTGACATGAAACCTGGGATGGGGTCTGCACACCCCCATATGGGGTGCTGCTTATGCTGAAGGAAGCAGCAATCAAAACGCGAGGATTTATATCGGGCCGAGTGGCCCATGTTCGCACACATTCTCTTAAAAAAAACAAAGTCCACTCCTCAGAGGCAGCCGTCCATTCTGAGGTGGTCCCCACACTCGATACCCTGACTCTTGTCACTCCCCGTTCCTGCCCTGTCTGCCTGAGCCAGTCCCCAGATCCGGTAGACGCCATGCTCTCTCCTCCTGGACTGACTGGATCCAGGCTCTGGACTAGTCAGGCTCTGCTGCTGCTGAGACGGGGACAGTAGTGCTGAAGTCAGTGTCTCCGAAGACGGGTGGGAATGCAGCAGTACAGTTCTAACGATAGACTCTTTTATTACAAAATGTTACAACAGGCTAAGATACTTGGACTGCCTTGGATGAGCACGGGGTCCGCAAGTTACCCAGATACCTGCTGGTGAGATGTGAACGTGTCCTGGAATTACAAATCCAAATCTAGGGCTCCAGATGGGCTCGTTATGGCCAGCGGGAGAGCAAGCATCGGGACATTTAAAAACAGTTCCCTGACTGTCCTCTCACTGTTCAGGTTTTCTCTCTTCTATGCAGCCACCTTTAAACCGGGAAGGAAGAGAGGATGCTGTTAGTTCATTTTCAGCAAGCAGAGGGAGCTGATCCAAACCCCAATTGCGAGGCCTCCTACACCCAGCAGCGGCCGCCAAACACACTGAAGGGTGGGACTTACCGCCTTCTTGGGGTCCCGGATGCTGCTTCGGCGCCCTCGCGCCTGCAGCCCGCCGCCCTCCCTAACGGAGACCGCGGAGAGCCCTGCATGCCTCTGGCAGTGGTTTTGGTTTTTTAAGTCTCTTATTCACTTCGGTTTTTTTGAGACAGAGCAGAATTTACCATTTTGGCCAGTTTTAAGTGTATAATTCAGGGACATTAAATACATTCACAATGCTGTGTAACATCACCACTCTCTCCAGAGCTTCTCCATGATCTTCAAACTGTACCCACTGAATAGTAGCTCCCCTCTCTTCCACCCACCTCCCTGGAACCGTTCTGTCTGCGCATTTGCCTCTTCCAGCTACTTCAATCTTTGGTGTGTGACCTACGTCACGTGCTTGTCAGGGTTTAGCCATGTTGACCACGTGCATCGGAACGCGTCCACCGTGTGCACACCGTGGGCACCATGCCCCATCTCCGTTCACCCGAGGCCATCTGGCTTGGTTCCGCCTCTGGGCTGTTGCGGAGAGTTCTGCCACAAACCGTGTACGGCGGTCCCTGTCCCTGCTTCTCAGTTCTGGGCATATACCCAGAAGCAGAGTTGCTGTTCTCAGGGTGAGTCCCTGCTTACCTTTGTGAGGAACCCCCAAACTCTGCCTCCACAGCGTTTGCTGCACCATTTGCCATCCCCACGAGCAATACACAAAGACCCCAACTTCTCCACTCCTCGCCGCCACGTTTCCTTTTTGGGAATAGCCATTGTCAGGGTGTGAAGCAGCAGCTCTTGATTTTGACTTGCGTTTCCCCAATGACTAGTGATGCTGAGGATCTTTTCCTCGCATTGTTTTTTAAAGGGTTATCCAAACACCCTTTGTATCAGTCAGCTGAGGTTTTTTATTGAAAATGTTAACTCAAAGTCTCAGTAGGGCTGGAGGTGAAGGCTTGGATGTATTTAACCAGTACTCCGCATGCCTTTTACTTACGAGCTTTCAAAACTCTTCAAGTATTAAAACTAAATAAAGCTTTAAGTGGTAATCAAGAAATTCTATATGGTCTGCTTAAAACATATATGTTTTTTACTGGACTCTGCCTCTTTTATTTGAACCTTACCGATAACTGTGTCAGGGGCAGAGAGGTCTTTAATGCTTTCGATTATAGTGAAAAATGCCATCTAAGTGATGGATAAAATATTTAACATCAGTTTATAAATCTGTGATTACAAATATTGTCTCCTGGTTCTATGAGTGGTATTTAAAGGCTACTAAATATACCTGGTTTTTTGTTTTTTTAATAAGAGGGGGGCAAAAAAGTGCATGTGCTGAGCAGAACACCAGGATTTCCTTCTTTCCTCTTCTTCCTTGACATTGCTCAAGACTTGCTTTCTGCTCACAGCACAGATTCTCTTCATGAAGAGTGGGAATGCAAATGGTTTCATTTTCAGTGCCATCTCTGGTAGTGGCTGCTAGAAATGCAGAGGATTTGGATTCCCATCTTTGGACACAGTGACTAGTGACGTCTACCACCAGGAGATACCTGGTGGGTGCCATCCATGTTGTGAGGTAATCAAGTGCTGAGAGTAGAGTAGGCTGGATTCCTATTTTCCAGTTAGAACCACTGAAATGAGGCAAACTTTCCTATAATTAAATGGTGGGGGGGTGGGGAGAGCACTAGGATTTTTGGTGACCAAAATATCGATAGCCACTCCCATACATGTAGTTTGCAGAAATTGGGTGGGCCTTAAAAAAAATTAAGCAACATTATAATAAAAATCACTCAGATCAAAACAAAAACCTGTTCGCCATCAACATATTAAACTGGCCCATGATTCAATTCAACAGGACAAATTCAAGTTTAAGAAGATAAATGCAAAAGACCAAATTAAAGAGTATCACCTACCCTAGCCCTATACAGTTCCCTGAAGAAAACACCAAGACACCAAAAAAACGAGGCAGGGCATTAATAGGAGAAAGCAGCATATTGATTTTAACAAGGATGATTTAAGATCTCAAGTGAACCAAGGCATGTGGCTATAGATCTCATCATCCCTGTAGACCAAGAATATGAAGAGGACTTAAAATATAGTTAACAAAGATAACTTATTAGATGTCAAACACACAAAATTTACGATCTTATCTTACAAATTTGCAAAACATGACGTTACAATGAACGGGAAAATCCCTCACAGTTACTCTAAGTGTCCACCGAAACCTCTCCAGAAAGCGATGATAAAAGTATCAAGACCTTAAAAAAATAAAAAGGAATTCCAAGAATATAATGAGAAAACATATATAAATGTTCACAGGTTATTTATAAACAGCTGGAAAAGATTTACATGGACAAACTGGACAAAGCAGTACCTAATGTCAGGAGAACTGGCTAAAATTCTAGTCAATCCCCACTAAGGTTTCCCAAAACCTACCCAAGGTCTTTCCAAGATTATTAAAGTTACATGTGAGGGCATGAGGGGGTTACAAAATTACATGATTTCAAGATAAGTGTGTAAGCACAAGTAAATACAAAGGACTCAAAAAATAAAAATGTTCTTAGTCATCTCTGAACAGAAAGAGTTCCAGAGATCTAGTGTGGGCTATTTTCTAACTTCAAAACCCTACACTGAGCATTATACTACTAGCCAAGAAACACTTTAAAATACTGTCAAAGCAAAATGATATACCTCCACAAAAGTATTCAATACATCAAATGTAGGGGGAAAGTTGCTTTTCTAAACACACATGCTAACAGGAATAGACCAAGATACACGTTTGTGGCTGACCTATTCCCTTTCACCACAAAAACGGCTACACAAGCATGTGATAACCAATTCAAAAAATAATGCTTAGGTAGGGGAAGAGACTATACAAATCTTCATTCTGAAAATGGTAAACAGAAGTAAATCCTGTTATCCAGAATTGCTGTTGGGATAAGGGGGCAGTCCAATTAATTTTAACTGACTTGCGAAGTTTAGTATACCCATAAAAGCCACACAAAATAAAATGATCTTCAGTCATTCAGAAGGCAATTTCAGAATCTTGTTAGGTGCCTCAGGGTAATTAGCAACAGTTATCAGTATGGTACTTAGTTAAAGGCGTAGTAATAACAGCTAACATTTGTTGGGTGCTTATTACGTGCAAAGCACTGATCTAGGTAACTTACTGGTATCCCATGTAACCCTTTGGGGTAGCTACATAATTAACCCCATTTTACACATTAGGAAACAGGGGCCCAAGGTCCCATAGCTGGTAAACGGGCTAGAGCTACAACTGGCATGTAGGTCCCTGGAAGGCTGCTGTAGGGCCCAGGCTCATCTCCATTAGGCTATGAAATACTCAGTCTTAACTGTTTTTTGTTTTTGTTTTTTTTAAGGGGAAAAAAAGTGATTAGCATTTTAACTTAAATTAGTCTCCTAACAGAGTTGTGAGAATAAAAATGTCAGCAAGAGAGAAGAAATCAAGACTCGGTATACAGAGACCATATACCCATTCTTAGAATAAATCTATCACACTTCAAAATACAGCACACTTTTTTCGGTTATGAAGTACAGAATTGAACAGGAAAATAACTTTGGATTTTAATCAAACTTAGAGCTAAAGCAGACACATAAAAGTTTTAATTTGCCAGATATTCTTTTAATGAGAATTATAAAAGACCAAAAACATTTTTTGCAAACTGCCTTTTTTTAAACAAATGATTTGCTTTTGATTACAAACTGTAAGACGATGCCTTCTTCTGCAAAACCAATAAATACAAGAACAAATTTTAAACATGTGATTTGTCCAAGATATTTGAAAGGAAAAAAAAAAAAAAAGCCTGATTTCTTTTTTCCAGTATTAAAAAAAAAAAATCAGTATTCCCTAACCTTTCAAAGAATAAGTTCAAAGGTCTGACTCAGCTGGAGAAAGAGAGAGAGACAGACAGACA